ATCTTAACACAACGAGTGAGAGTATTAACTGGTCTAATTATTTTATTAGATCAGTATATATTATTAGATTATATATATATATATATATATATATATATATATATATATATATATATATATATATATATATATATATATATATATATATATATATATATATATATATGTATGATGTACAAGACGCCTTAAGTGTGTGTGTACATGTGTATACAACATTAATAATTTTGTAACTAGCGTCAAACATTGTTATTTGCTTAGCTAAACGAACTAGAGGGTTCAGTTCCTGAACCGATTATGTGCCTCTGTAATCCTTTACACCACCGCCCACGGGATGGGTATGGGGTGCATAATAAAGAAAGAAATAGAAGAAATTGAAATTGCATAATACGGTTATTGACATTCAATAATAGTAAGATAAAGCAATGAGGACCAAATGGGAGACCAGTGATCAGATGAATATTACAGACTCAAGGGTAGCCTTCTCTTCTTGTATATAAATGAAAAAATAAATTCGTTTGTTTAATTCTAATGCTTGTAGGCGAGAACAGTTGTGAACGCCAGCTAGCGCACAAGTACATGAGCGCCCAAAATACTTTTACACAAAAGACATGTACAGACAGGCGTGTGGCTTCTGACTTCTTTTTTATTGATTAATATTAAATATTAGGCGCTTACCTATAATAGTTATCATTTTATACAAGTATAACTCTCACATAATAAATATAAAAGTAGTTTATCTAAAAACTGACAGAAGTGTTGTGTTTTGTGCGTTGTATCGTGTTTGTGGGCATTCGGGTGTGTTGTGTTTACGCTGGCGGGCGGCGTCCTTACCAACTCCGGATTATGTCTATTGCATCACTAAACTTCATTTAATAACTATATGCCTGTTAAATAGAAGATTTTAATTGTTAATAGCATTATATTGTCGTTTTAATATGGAACACGTACACATATGCGAAACGTCTAACGCTGGTGTCCGAAGTGGTAAAAATATTAGTGTGCGATGTTGTCAATGTACGGAGTGTCTTGTATCCGTGGAGGTGACCCCAGGGAGGTGGTGGTGACGAGCCCAAAGAGGTGACCCCAGGGAGGCGGTGGTGACGACCCCAGGGAGGTGGTGGTGACGACCCCAGGGAGGCGGTGGTGACGACCCCAGGGAGGTTGTGGCAGACACTGGTTACCAGTGTTAGCAGTGTGGTAGTGGAGGTAGTGGTGGCCGGGGAGGAGGAGAGCAGCGTCTCCCTCAGTGGTGAGGCGTCGTCTGTTTGTTTACCTCCCCCACGCTCCCCTCAACACTCAGGGGCAACACTTCTCAAATTCAAATTCTTTATTTTATGTGCTAGCCATATACTGTATTGTGCCTACCAATTTTTGTCAACTACCATTCAAGCTGTCATTGCAATCAATCTTAGCTACCTATGTGCTTTAATATACTGTACCTACAATTTTCTCTCATCTTTTTTTTTCTCTTGCCATGTAACTGTTATCATTTTTTTTTTTATAAATTTTGCAAGTACAGTATTTACCTACTTAAAATTTTCTTAGATTAAGGACCTGCCCGAAACGCTACGCGTTCTAGTGGCTGTACAAGAATGTAAAAAAAAAAAAAAAAAACTTAGTTCACTGAGACGTTTGTACATACAAACCATCTCGTTCGTATATGTACTGGTTTGCTGTCCGTCTAATTACCACAAGCTACACAAGCTTCACAAAGCTTCCTGGCAATACGTTAGTAATGAATAATATGATATATTTACTTATTATAATGTTGGTGCTCAATGTACAACACGAACAAACATAATTTTAACCTGAAAAAGTATATTTTTATAAAGAAATTAGGCGAAAATAAAAAGCTGGTGACGCCAAATCAAGTCGATGATCCAAGCTTCGGTTAGGTTAGGTTAGGTTAGGTTAGGTCAGCCTAACCTAACATATCATATTTATTCATTACTAATGTATTGCCAGGAAGCTTTGTGAAGCTTGTGGTAGCTTGTGGTAATTAGACGGACCCCTGGTTTGTATTCGCTGCTGTTCTCGTCTGAATAAATACATGACAAAATATCAATTCAAATATTTATTCAGGTAAAGTACATACATACAAGGTGAGATACAAAACATTGATGGATTTATAGATAGAGCTAGTAAATACAATGCCTAAGGCCACTATTACGCAAAGCTTTATACAGTCTCTATAGTCAACAGTCACAGTATACAGTCTTTATACAGTCACAATGTTTCTGTAATTAACTTGAATGTAAGATCTCTTTGCAAGCACTTTGATGATGTTAATGCCCTGATTCAAACAGTTGCAACAAATTCTCTTTTATTGTGTTTACTGAAACGTGGTTAAAAGAGGACACTTCTCAACTCTACAACATACCAAACTACTCAGCCATTCACAACTGTCGTCCTATACAAAGAGGTGGTGGTACTTCTCTTAACTACCACCATGCACTGACTTGCTTAAAAGTAATTAAATCTAGAGACCCTTATGGAGAGAATATATTTGCCTCTTTCAGAGTCAAGGGTAACGATGCTGTCTTGACTGTGGGAGCAGTTTACAGGGTTCCTAACACTGATGTGACTGAATTTAACTCAAACCTTAGAAATCTTATACTAGAGAGCCGACTGAACATGAACCACTTAATTATTTCTGGTGACTTTAACATTGACCTCTGCGAGCCTGATAACTCTCCTGCTGCTAGTTTCCTCAACTGTATGAATTCCTGCTTCCTCATACCCGTAATCACTAGACCTACTAGAATCTACTAGTACTGCCACGGCTCTTGATCACATCTGGACCAACATAACCTCTCCACTTACTTCAGGGATAATCATCGATAGCACTACAAACCATTACCCCACATTTCTCCTAGCCAACATTAACAAACCACCTCTAGAGGCAAGGGAGATAAGCTTTAGGCTGCACAATGACACTGCTATAGGCAATTTTATAGCTGCTGCTGCTAATATCAACTGGGAATCTGAATTAGGGAACATAGGGGACATCAACCTAGCAGTGCAATCATTTCTTCAAAAAACTCTCAGCCTTTATAACACCTACTGTCCTATGCTAACAAAACAAGTCACAACTAAAAGGCTAAACAATCCTTGGCTTACAAAGGGGATACTTAAATCCATTAATAAAAAACATGACCTTGAGAAGAAGTATAGGTTAGGAATCGTCTCCAAAGAATTCTCAAAGAATTACTGATCACTGCTATCTAAAATAATTAGGAGAGCCAAAATTAAATACTATGAAGACAAATTTACCCACACAAAGGGCAATATTAAGAAAACGTGGAGCAAAATTAATCAAATATTGGGACCAAATTAGATTATAAATAACAAACCAATACTCCTATCAAATAATGATGGTCTGCTTTCAGCCTCTGACACTGCTCTTGAGTTCAATACGTTCTTCTCTTCCATTGGGTCATCCCTTGCAAATGATATTCCATCGTCCAGTACTAATATTCAGAACTATCTTACAAGAAACTATCCACAGTCTCTGTACCTAATGCCTACTAATTCCACTGATGTTACTGACATAATCCTTAGCCCTTAAAACCAAGTCTAGTGCCCTTGAGGAGATACCAACTCTTATTTACAAAAAAGCCTCCAGATTTTTAGCTCCTGCCATTACATTGCTCTTCAACAAGTCACTTGAACTCCAAACCTTTCCAGATATTCTAAAAAAAGCGAGAGTAACCCCTGTCCACAAATGTGGTGATCTCACAGATGTTAACAACTTCAGACCTATATCAATTCTGCCAAACTTGTCAAAAATATTTGAAAAACTAATCTATAAGCAACTTTACTCTTATCTAGCCAAACCCAATATACTTAGCTCTTGTCAATATGGCTTCAGACCCCAAAAAAGCACTGACGATGGACTTATTAGTATGATTAACTTGATACATAGAGCTCTATATAAAAATGAGTTTCCTGTTGGGTTATTTGTAGACCTACGTAAGGCTTTTGACACAGTTAACCACCAAAACCTTCTTCTTAAATTACAACATTATGGAGTCAGAGGACACTCCCTGCAGTACTGTACATTAAGTCTTACCTTACTGACAGGCTCCAGTATGTTTCTGTGAATAATTCAATTTCTCCCACCCTACCCATCAACATTGGTGTTCCCCAGGGCAGCATACTTGGCCCTCTCCTCTTTCTCATCTACATTAATGACCTTCCAAAATGCCTCCCAACATCTCAAACCAATTCTATTTGCTGACGACACAACCTTCATTTACTCCAGTCCTGACCCCCTTGCTTTGAATGCCACAATAAATACCGAGCTAAATAAAGTCCATCTTTGGCTAACTGCCAACAAACTCTCCCTTAACATTGACAAAACTTTCTATATTTTGTTTGGTAATAAATCCTTTTAAATCACAATTCTATTGGATTACTGTTGTGGTCTAGTACCCCCAGAGTCCTATTGCCTTTACTGAGGGGGCAAGATTTTGGTACTGATAATAAGCTATACCTTCTGGGAGTACCTATTAGGCACATTTTATGCTCACTAATAAGAAGAAAGTCTTGATATGGATGTATAGGTCAATATGCTTTCATTTAGAAATGCAGCAAAAGCTGCCTATCCTAGTGTTTTGGTAGTATTTTAGACTACCAGTACTTTAGTACTTTAGTACATAGTAATGATGAGAATCATAGTACTGTATATATACTGACCTATAACACAATTAAAACAAAGAAATCTGAACTGTTGAGTTGGACAAACTGGAAAACTATTTTTAACTTGTGTTGCTTTGACAAACTAAACTAATCCATCCTAACCTCCCTAGGCCTAATACATAATACCTGAGGCCTACTATAGTACTGTACATGTGTGCACTATACTAGGCCTAGGAATATTTAAGTTTGTATTTTAGCTTCATTTATTTTATAAGAATTTCTTACTAGTCAGTACTGACGATGGTCACAACATGTACTATCTAAACAGGAGGATGGGAAGGCAAAAGAGGAAGTAAAAATTTGAGTAATCAATCATTTTATTTTGAATTGCAGTACAAAATCAAGAATTTACCTTTAGTAATTAGTTTCTCTTTACAAAATAACATGTATTACAATAGGCTAAGATTTTTCAGTGTGATGCACTTGAGTGCCTTTTTCTCCTTTTGTTAGATCTTCTTTGCTTTTCCCCTTGCTTTTTCTGCTTTCGCCTTTGGTTTCTCTGGTTTTGTGTACGGAATGTTATACACTGCAAGGAAAACAGATAGTCTATGTTGTGGACATACATTAATATAATCAATTTATCAAATCTCAAATGCTTGGGGCCAGACATGGCTTCAAATCAACATGAAGAATCTCTCCCCCCTTTACCCAATAAAAAAAAAAGTGAAAATTTAAAGTTGGAAAATGGGGCAGAGGGAGACAGAACACTACAACCATATTGTATCCCATGGGGTTGATGTGAAGGCTGCTCATTTACCAACAAAAACTGCTGTGAAACAGATTCTAAACTTGAGACACTTGCCACCCATCACTAGACATGATAGTATCAATTACCATACAGTAAAATGTAACAATAAAGACAAACTTATATGCCCCAAAAAACCCTAAAGTATCTGAACAGGCTGCGTCCCCATAGCCCCAGTCCCCAGAGAAAAACCCACAGACATGTAAAATACAAATCCTCAAGTCTAGTAAAAGACTAAGATTCTAGGCAATATACACTAAAGTGGAATACAAGAAATGCTGGATAATTGAAAATTTAAAAATCTGAAATAAATTAATTACCAAATTTTTTTTCCTAAATCAAAGAGAGTGGACCTTAAATTTCAAAACAATATTGAAATCTGGACTAATTAAGCATCAGAATTGATACAGCAGTTCATTATATCAATCCAGAATTTGATCTCACAGTACATTCTAAGTGCAGGATATAAATTATTGTTTAATTATTACTTGTTATAAATAATTTACTATTAATATGAATATATATATACAGTGGCACCTAGACTTACGATTGCCCTGCCCCTACTTACGATAATTTCGTGTTACGATGTAAATTTCATCGAAAAATGTGACCGACATCCGATGGTGTCGTCGACTTACGATATTTGTTGGTACATGTTCGGGTCGACCAAGCGCATGGTTCCCGGTCACGCGGCCGACCTGCCTAAGTTTACTACAGCTACCCGCTTAGTGACGATCGCGCCTATAAGAAATTTCGCTTTTGTGGTGATTTCTTGCATTTTGTACATTAAAGTAATTATTATATATCACGCCATGAGTCCCATGAAAGTCAGTAGTAAGGCTCAACCTATGAGATCCCATGTAAGGATGACCATAGAGCAGAAACAAGAGATCATTTGTAAATATGAAGATGGTGTGCGGGTTGTTGGCCTGGCTAGGCAGTACAACAAATCTCAGTCAACGATATCCATCATACTGGCTAAGAAAAAGGACATTATGGGTGCTAAAGTGATGCATCATTACAGACAAATGTTAAAACGAAGGGAAAAACGAATGTCTCTTGATAAATCTGTAGTGAGACAAACAAGCACTGAACCACAACCAGGTCCTAGTGGTATTCAGGCAAAACGTAGGAGAGAGAGTACCCCAGAGAAAACATCACTGTCTGATGTGTTAATGGAGGGGGATTCCCCTTCCAAACAGTAACAACTCTCCTCCTCCCAACTCGTCACCATCTTCCATATGCCATCAAGAGCCCTCCATAAAGGTAAGATAAACTTAGGTACTGTATTGTAGTTAGAAAAAAACATTGTATTCAGTATAAAATGTATTTGTATGTTAATATTTTGGAGGGTGGAGAACGGATTAATTCAAATCCCTTTATTTCCTTTGGGAAAAATCACTTCGACTTACGATCCGTCTCTGGGAACGGATTAGCATCTTACGTCGAGGCCCCATTGTCTATAGTTTGAATATACAGTATATTCTTTTTGTGGGTAGCCAAGCACTGTACTACTGACCCTGGTTGAGCTCTGGCCATGTGCTCTTTATCTGTGATAATGCATTACAGTGGCACCTCTATTAACGAGGGGCTCTATATACGAGTATTTCGAGTAACGAGCGAGCCACTCGCAGCAAATTTGTCTCTATTGACGTTTCCCTCGCTCTCGACGTTGGGTACTACAGTTCTACGGGTGCAAGAATATGCCTCCTCAAGCACCCGGGCGTCAAAATAGAAGTAGTCCAAAGGAATAACCAAAACAAGCAAAAATCACCACTACCTTCTCACCACCAGTAGAAAACCATCAGTAGCAGAAGAATGATAGAGAGGATCACACAGGCAGGTAGTAGAGAGGGTTGACAATCAGGTGTTACAATGGTTGACAGCACTTGATATTACAGTGGAGAGAGAGAGAACTACTTACGTTACAAATTGATTGGTATTGCAATCACAGTAATTCTGGTGTTTGATTCTGTTCTGTTTGAGCAGTTAAAGCATGGTAAAGTTATCTTAATTTACATAAAATTTTCTATAATAATGGTGCTCATTATGAAAATTTCTCACTTATGCCTCACAATTAGGACAATCACCACTTCTCAGTTGGAAATGTATTGGTGGACCTGGAGCTGTCTCCATTACAGTCCCAAATATAAAGCAAGAGATCTAATTTATAGAGCTTTGTACTTTACTATAAACATCTTTTTAGTACTAAAATTTACCTGGTCATCTAACACATCCAGCAGATTCTTCACGCTGCATTTAATACCATTGGCCTTTAAGGATGCTTGTAATTCCTCAACAAAGATGGGTTCATACAACAAGACTTTGCTGTGTAGTTCATGATCACTGCTGATGAACTGCACTACTTTACTACCAATATCAGCTGCAATAAAAATTGAAATGGTGAAACTTCAATTTGGTGAACTATATGTAACCAACCCATACAGTATATTATTATTATATACCAAGTGTGGATAAAAATCCACACTTGTGTATTTGTAAAATTTATGTAAGAAATTTACACAATCTTTTGCACTCTCCCGAGTGCTTTATCAAGGTCCGAGTGTGAGATTAGGATGAGACTTACATCCCAACATCTAATGAGGCTGTTATCCTGGGTCCAGTCCTCTTATGCTTCTTGACCGCCGGACCAGGTCACCTCTATTCTCGACTGGCGATGTACCTGCGGTAATGCCTTCTACGGAAATATGGTCATGTATCCTTTCTGTAGTACTGTACTGCTATTCTGGGAACTGGAGTTGCTATTAATTGAGGTGTTCATCTGGATGCTATCCCTCGTAACCCTCTCTATACCCCAAGGAACACGACTAATGGGACTTTCTTTCATCCATTTACTGAGATCAAATTTTAATTCACTCGGAATAATTTTCCTAGTAAAACTATCCTTCAAAGTAAAGCTAATGTTTGCCAGTGAAAGTATTCAAAGTATTTATTAGAACCCCCTTCCACTACCCTTCTAGTTCTAATATTAATACTTTCATAGATTATTTCATATTAAAATCAACATTGTGATCACAATGCTGATTTTTATATATTATTATATATTTATATTATTATATATATTATATATTATTATATACAGTATTTATATTAAATTATTATTATAATATTGTGATCACAATTTTGATTTTAACTGAAAAACACGAGTTACGAGGAGAGGATAGAGGCGTAAAATATGCCAAAGCTGGAAGAGAGAAGAAAAAAACCAGTGTTGAATATAATGAAACGCCATTTTCTGAGTGAGACCCAGAGGCTTCCCAGAGCTATACCAGGCTGATGTGTATATATATATATTAGATCATGGCAACAGTCAATTGATAGAGTTCTTAACCTACTAGGGACCACAAGCCAGAATCTCACCCCCCTCAGAGAGGCACGAGGATCAATGGCTTATAACCAGGAAGCTTGGAATCCCAAAACAAACTACAGCTGGTTAAAAATTGCAAACCGAAAGCCGAACAAGCAGGCAAAACTCCCCAATCAGAAAACAAGCAAACAAGCATGACGTCACCACAGCTGCGGTTCGGTAACCTCCGGGGTGGGAGGTACCCTGGAGCAATGAAACGGGACAGCCTGTCCCATTTCATTCTCCTGTCCACAGAATGACAGTCGACGCCGACTCATTCCGTTAGCTCTGCCGAACGTGGACCTTTTTACGTTGGCTTGGTCAAGGCGTCTTCTGGTATATGCGGCGCCCTTCCCCGACTTCGAGGCTGTCGGGGTCAATGACTTTCGACTGGACTGGTCTAGGTGAGGTTACCTGTACCTCATCTCCCCGGTTCAGTTATTGCTCCAGGTTCTGGCTCTCTTGGAGGCTTACCAGGGAAGAGTAGTCCTGTTATCTCTTTGGTTACCTGCCCAGCCTTGGCTTCTGGTGTTGTTTGCGCTTTGTCCAAACCCGAGGAATCTTCCCACGGCTGCGCCTCTTTCAGTAGATTGGTCCATTCCGGTACGTGGCTGGTTTGTTGTTCTACTTTGGTCTTTGCCTCTGATCTTTTTGACATGGGTTTATCACCACTTGTATGGTGATCATGTGGCTTCACTGATGGTGTCCCACCTGCAAGTTTCGTCTCAGCGGTAGTATGATGTTTCCTGGTGGTCCTTTTGGCACTTCTTGACTCTTCGTAGATTGTCTTCAATTTGTGATTGAAATCTCCTTTTCTGGCGAAGAATGAGACTGCTGCTTTTCAGAGGGGTCCTTGGGTTGTTGATGCTTGGTCGATTCGGCCGGGGGTCCATCATGTTTTGCATCCAATTGCGGCTCTTTGCCTTTATTTGTATGCCATAGCCTCCGTGCCAAGAGATGACATTCTTGTCAGCCCCTGAATGTCTTGGGCTGACATTCGGGCACAAGACTTTTGAAGGCCAAACAGGGTCCTGGCTGCATGGTACCTCGATAATGTTCCTGGCCCTTCTCGGGCGTGTGTAGCCTTGGATCGCAGGTTACAGCCATTTGTCTCGACTTCAAGTTGAGGAGTGAGGGCAACTGCCTCCCAGTTAAGTCTCTCTTTTTCCTTTATCATTGGTTAGGTAGCTCCGGAGAGCCGAAAGGGGTTCTCCACAGAAAACCATCGTTGAATGTAATGAAACGCCATTTTCTGGGTGAGACCTAGAGGCTCCCTGGCATCCATCCCTCAAGTCGGTGGTGGTTTTTCACGTTTTTGATATTCAGCCTCGGAACTGAGGTTGGGTAGCTAGCACGAGGGGGGGGATCTGGTTCTTCCCCTTCCCCCCCTTTCGGGGAGGGGGGAGCTGCACAGGATCACCCCTAAATGTACACAGTACTGTGACCACTGCACCAATGATCGCCTTCGATCATTGGTGCGGTGGTCACGGTACTGTGTACGTTTAGGGGTGATCCTAGACGGCATGGGTTCGAATCCTGGCTGGGTCAAAGAGTTCTTAGTGATATATTATATATATATATAATATATCACTATGTATCCACTCAATTTAACGGCCTCTTTTATACCGATCTGCCGGTATTAACGACCGGTTTGGGAGACCGGTATCTGGAGCCTCCTATACCGGTCTGGCGGTCGATATTACTGACGGTCGGTATTGGGTTTGTTGTGGCATTGGCGTCCCCTCACATAGCGACCAGGCCACCGACCTCCATCGCCAAGAGTCGTATATTACATCTTAATTTTCTTTTAAAATGATTCACTTTAATGAAGAAAATTGTAAATTATTATTAATAAAATATTTTGAAACAGTTTTTATTAAGCAAAAGTCTTTGTTTTCTTATTAAATACCTTTTATAGTATAGGCACTAGGTATTTTTTTTCCCACGGACCTAGAATGTACTCCACCGGGCCATGTGTTCCCATTGTTTACTGTGAACTCGCGCGGCTAGCTTCAATTGTGAAGGATATTACTGTACTGTAATTGTGATCTTCTTTTTAATTTACAAAAATGCCAAAAGTTACCCAAAGGAAGCGCCTGACGGTTGCACAGAAGCTGGAGTTAATTAAGAAACTTGATAAAGGATATTCTCATGCACGAGCAGCAGCAGAGTTTAACATCGGGAAAAGTACAGTAAGTGACATCAAGAAACAGAAGGATACTCTATTAAAATATGCCTGAAAATAAGGGTACATACAGTATGTACCCTGTATACAATATAAACAATATAAAACAAGCGCTGCAGAGGATGACGTAATCTTCACAGCTTCGTAATCTTCAGCTTCATTAAAAGTAAGTCAATTTACCAATTTTATTATAGTATTACAAGATATTAATTGTTTTTTTCAACAAAAGCTACATATTAGTCTCTGCAAATGTATATTCTATCGTCAGCAGAGAATAGGCGAGCTCAAAATATTTCGTCTTGGCTAGCTCTCAGTGACAAGGCTCGATCGCCATTGTTATGGCATGATATATATATATATATATATTGTGACGGTAACGCGTTGGTGTTCGGCTGTTTAAGGCTAGGGGTATGGCCTCGTCACATAGTTATAAAAAAAAATAGAAAAACTGGAACTTCGTCTGTGGTAAGGTAAGGAGAAGACACACAAAACACAAGTAAACTTTAACAATGAAATTTTAATTACGTTAAATAAATCAAAACATGAAAATAATGCACAAACAAATATGTATAATAAAATCAATGAATCAAAATAATAAGAATACTTAAATGACACAATGAAAAGTTACGTTAATGCAAAATAACAAGAAGTGCAATACAACAGTAAGTGGGAGGTGCTGGAATATTGGCTTAAAGCCACCACCTCTCTCAGTACACGCTAACGTCTAGCTGGGAGGTGTGCTGGCTACGAAAGCACGGAACATTCTGAAGACTGATGTTGGGGCGACCCCAGACATCGGGTAGTATTGGGGGGCGAGTGCAGGTGCAGCCAGACCGGCGACCAATCAGCGGAGCCGTAGCGATCAACGGGTAGTTTGGTGATTTGGGTCCGAACAGGTGGCGGGCTGCATACGTTTCTGCTCACCCTTGCAAGCCTTGCTGGTGCTGGTGTTGTTGTCGTTGTTGGACATTTCTTCCATAGTCTTTTTATATAATTGTGAAGACGTAATTTTGGAGGGAAGAGCAGGCTCAATCTCTTGAAGGAGATTATCGTCACAACTCTCCCCCGAAGCCTGCGGTTCTGGAAGAAGTACGTCGTTATGTGGTGGAGTAATGGATGGAGTCGCTTCTACTTCATAAACTCTGGAGAGGGCATCGGCTATGGTGTTGTCAGAACCCTTGATATAGCGGATCTCCAGGTTGAAGTCTTGTAAATACAGAGCCCATCGTAGAAGACGCTGGTTGGTGAATTGGGCTTGATGTAGGAAGCGGAGAGGGTTGTGGTCTGAGAAGATGGTGGTAGACCTGGCGCCTTGTAGGTACGGAGCGAAGTGTTGGAGGTTCAGGACGATGGATAGTAGCTCCTTTTCAATAGTGCTGTAGTTCCTCTGGTGTGGTTTCAGTTTGTAGCTGTAGTAGCTGACAGGTAGAACTTCCTCGCCTCGTTGTTGCATCAGGACACCACCAACGCCGGTACCACTGGCGTCGACATGAAGGACGAAAGGCTTGGTGATATCTGGAGAGGCGAGAATGGGGTTAGAACAGAGGAGGAATTTGAGTTGTTCGAAAGCAACGGTTTGCTGCATGGTCCAATTATACCGTTGCTTGGGACTGGTTAATAGAATTAGAGGTGTGGCGACTGTACTGAAATTCCTCACAAACCTACGGTAGTAAGAGGCAAGACCAAGGAAGCGCAGGAGCTGCTTCCTGGTGGTAGGCTGTGGATACTGTAGGATGGCTTGAGTGTGTGAGTCTAACGGAGCTATGCTGCCACTCCCAATAACATGACCCAGATAACGCACTTTACCTTTCGCGAAAGTGGACTTGCCCAG